AGGAGTGAGGGGCAGCGCGCTGCCGCCCCTCGACACAGGGAAGACAAGGAGGAGCAAGGGAGGGTGGGAGGGGAGGGAGTACCCGAGGAAGACCAGAGACAAGGTACCGGGCGTGCATGCCCCGAAGGCGCCGCACTGACGGGTGACCAAGTCGGTGGTGCCAGAGGACAGTCTTGTGCGCTAGAGAGCGACACGAGCAGGGGGCAGAGAGCTGACCTGACGCAAACGCAGACGCAGACGCCGCTACCTGAGGGGACTCAGTGGTCAGTGTGTACAAGTCCGACCCCGGCTGCCGAGTGAAGGTAGCCAGGTGACGGCCCGTCCGAGCACACGTGCAGTGTGTCACACGCTCGTAGGCAGGGGTGAACTGGTGAACACCCCCATCCTGAAGCGCACAACCCGCCACCAAGTTCGTAGAGAACGAGGGGAGGTGGAGACCTGACAGTGTGCCCGACGGGACAGCAGGACAAGGAAGGAGGGTGGAGGAGGTCGCAATGACAGGACCCCCAGAGGGGTCAGCGAGCGAGACAGCGACTGGTCGAGCAAGGGGCTCAAGAGCAGTGCGGTCACGAAAGAAACAGCGCGAAGCGCCTGAGTCTAGAGTGAAGGTGTGCAGTGCCTCAGTGGACTCAGTAGCACCTGGGGTGGCGGACACACACGCACCTAGAGCAGTAGCCTCACCAGTACCTGGGGCAGCAGACACGCAAGTACCTAGGGCGGCAGCCTCACTCGTGCGGATGCCTGGGTCAGGCGGAACACTCAGGTACTGGTCCTCCTCTCCACTAATAGTCAATGCATACATGGCTTTGAGAATAACATCAAAATCAAGAGCATAGATATCGATATCCTTCTTGAGGAGATCAGCCCACTGAGGGAGCTCAGGAGCGTCAGGAAACTGAGCACGCCAAGCGTCATCTAGGCGAGAGAAGCAGCGCTGCGAAGTGTGCGTCCTCCCGCACGTCTGTCCCTTGCGGCGACCAGTGCGGATGACGTACGTGCAGCTAAGGCTACCCCCCCCACCCCCGTGCTGTAAGTACCACTCACGAAGCTCCTGGGAGGACTGAGGGTGCTGCGCACTCTGGCCAGTGCCAGAGCCTCCACGACCACCACCGCCGCCTCCACCACGACCACCACCGCCCCTGCCGCCGCCACGTCCACTGCCGCCACCACCACCGCCCCCACCGCGGCCACCGCCGCCGCCGCTGCCTCCACCACTCCCACCGCTGCCACTAGCCCCTCCAGCCCCGCCACCGCCCCCGCCGCTGCCACCACCCCCACCACCACCTCCCCCGCCGTCACCCCCACCGCCCTTTCCTCCCCTGCCCTTGCCGCTGCGGCGCCCGCTGGGAGCGGACGCAGAGCCGACCTGCTCAGCACCAAGAAGGTCGACAGCAGCAGCAGAGGCGACAGAGGGGAGGAGGGGGGAGGGGGAACACCCCTCGAAGAAAGGGGTGCGGGGGTCGCCACGAGAGGCACCTACAGCTACAATACTCTTCTCAGCTGCAAGTAGTTCCTTCTCTAGGGCGGCAATGGTGAGCTCAGTGGGACAGCGAGCTAGGAAGTGGTCCCTGACTGTACGCAGAGTGTCAGGGAGGTGGGTGACTAGGTGGTAGAGAGTGAGCCAGAGTGGGGGAGGGTTGGAGGCAAGAAACTCAGCGGGCATGGCTGCACGGAAGCGGGCATCACTAGTACGGAGGTGAGTGATGAGGTCAGCGACTGTCTGGAAAGCGGACAGGTCGGGGAACAGGTAGGGAAGGGAGAGACGGCCTAGTGCAGCTGAAGCCGGGGAGGAGTAGCGCGCAACTACAGCAGTGTACAGGGCCTGCGCAGTCTGATGCTGGCCGAAGTGCTCACGCTCATCGACTGGCAGGGAGTTGCGAATGGCAAAGCGGGCGTGGGCATCGCGAGTCTGCCACTGCGAGCGAGCAGTAGCGGTAGCAGTAGTAGCAGGAGCAGGGACTGTGCCTAGTGCGTGATCGTACAGCGAAATATCCTCTCTGGCAGTGAGCTGGAGGAACAGGTGCAGGTCATCGAGCCAGGTATCAAACTTAATCGGGCGGCCCTCAGAATCGAACGAGAGAACTGTAGGGCTAGCCATAGCTGAAGTAGCAGTAGCAGCAGTGGTGATAGTAGCAGTAGCAGTAGCAGTAGCAGTGCTGTGCACAGGTAAGTAGGGCGTGGCTCGGCTAGGGCGGCGCGGCTCGGCTAGGGCGGCGCGACTCGGCTAGGGCGGCGCGACTCGGCTAGGGCGGCGCGGCTCGGCTGGGGCGGCGCGGCTCGGCTGGGTCGCGCGGTTCGGTTCGGGTCGCGCCGTGCGGCTCAGTCGTAGAGGGGCGAGCGCGGGAGGGCCGGTCGGGGCTAGCGCGGGGCCAAAGGGGGGGGGGGGGGGGGGCGTGAGAGGCTAGCGCGGGGCCTGCAGGGGCCGTGGGAGGCTAGCGCGGGGCCGACGGGGGCCTTAGGAGGCTAGCGCGGGGCCGATCGGGGGCCTAAGGAGGCTAGCGCGGGGCTAGCGTGGGGCCGACGGGGGCTTAGGAGGCTAGCGCGGGGCCGACGGGAGCCTTAGGAGGCTAGCGCGGGGCCGATCGGGGGCCTTAGGAGGCTAGCGCGGGGCTAGCGTGGGGCCGACGGGGGCCTTAGGAGGTTAGCGCGGGGCCGATCGGGGGCCGAGAGAGGCTAGCGCGGGGCCATACGGGGCCTTGAGAAGGAGGCGCTCGAGGCGCAGGAAAAAGAACGGCGGCGCACGAGGGCGCGGCTAGCGGAAACGGTGGGCCCTATCGTTTCGGTCCTAGGTGGAACCTAGGCTCGTAATACCATGTCAGAATGAGAAACGAGAATGAGGAGTGACTAGCAGGAACAACAGTACAAATATGTCAAACCCTAATCTGGTGTACCCCTTATGGTGTGACCCACTACAGCCTAGAACCACACAAACATATAAATGTTTGACATGGGAGAGATTTGCTCCAAACCCTTGTTTGGGGATTCGTTGTTGCAAACGTGGCCACCATTTGCTCGAGTGGTTCTCAAATTCAGTGATAATTGCTCGAGTGGCCTCGCCTGTGGATTCACATAGTCTTTTTTTAGAATGAACATTACCCTTCAGGGGTATCTATCCTCGAAACTTCTGTATTGGTTATTGCGCGATCTTTAATATCCGAAATTTATGTTCGTCACCCTATATGACCGCGCCTGATTGGACGCTCATATAATCGACCAATCCTGCGCGGCCATTAATGGTGGCGCGCATCATATTTTTATGCCCGATCATATATTTCCGCAGTTATAAACTGCAATGCCCTTAATGACCGCGCATGATTGGCCAATTATATGCGCGGTGCCATTTTTAGAATTGCGCGTCCAATCAAGGGCTGTCATATAGGGTCACGAACATAGATTTTGGATACTGAAGATCGCGCAGTAACCAGTACAGAAGTTTCGGGGATAGAAACCCGAGTAGGGTAATGTGACGGGTTAAAAAAAGCCAGTGGGAATCCCCTGGCAAGCAGGCCTGTCGATTGACGGGCATATGCCCTTAATGCCCTGAAATTCCGGGCTACTTTCGCTCCAGCTCGACTGCATAAAGTGTTAGGGTCGCCCTGCACCCGTGCCACTAAGTGCTTCGTTCGACCCTTCCCCGGATGCGTTAAGTGCTCCAAACAGGCCTTCCCCACCCACAAAGTTCTGATTTCTGGTTCTAGGGAGCCCCCCCCCCCCCCCAAGAAATTCTGCCTGTGTCCCCACTCCACCCCCCTCCCCTTTCTCCTTGGTTGCACGAGAGCGCGCCAAGGGGATTTTTTCCCTTAGCGTTTTCTAGCCAATCCCGTGTTTGTGATCTCTCTTAGTCAGCTTTGGAGCAGCCGAACTTTCCCTTAGCTAAGAGAGTGTAGGTGCAAGCCCGGATATCAAGTTACCACTTTGGCCTGCGCCCGTGACCGTTAAGGGCGCCAAAACACTCAGCTACGGCCAATACAGGGTCAGATAGGGAGGAGCTGGGGGCTCCAAGTGTGGGCCCCAGGAACATCGACAGGCCTGCTGGCAAGGCCACTCGAGCAATTATCACTGAATTTGAGAACCACGCGAGCAAATGGTGGCCACGTGGGCACCGCTGAATCTCCAAACAAGGGTTTGGAGCAATTCTCTCGGTGACTGGTCTCACACAACTCACGAAGAACCTCGCGGAGAAAAGACGAGGCTGGCCATGAGAGATCACTGTTATCGCTGCAACCTCTGTCGCGAACCTCAGCGTCGAGCCATGACGCGGGTTCGACGACAGGTGGCGAGCAAGCGAAGAGCAGAAATGTTTTTCGTCACGCCATGACCGTCTTGTTGATGGCGAAAAAAATCACCGTCTGGAATGGCCCACTCGCACGGTCCTCTGGTGTATTCGAAGCGCGCCATCAAGCACCCGTATCGTGCATCGCGTCGGCGCTTTCTAACTTCATCCTGTCCGTCCATGTCGGACTTCCACTCGATCTGAACCGTGAAGTCTCTATATCTGGCCCACCATTCTTTCTCTTCCTATTCCCGCTGCCACCAGCGGCATCATTTCACCCCTCTAGAACCAAGGCCAGCAGTGAGGTAGAAACCACGAATGACGGAAAAGGACGGACCTGCAAGTTTACTATTACTTCTGCCATAACCGTCTCTCGAAAGCTGTCAATTTGCCACGAATTGGGCTTCTTGTTTCCTGCAAACGCGTCTTGGTCATTACGCTAGCTCCACATAGCCTTCTTGCGGTCCGATTCCGACGGGCTATCATGTGCGCAGATCCTTCGATTAGTGTTTCCTCCAGCAGGCAATCGCGAGAAGCGCGGCTGCGGCATAATCTCAGCAACCAAGTCGAGAGGTCGCTGTCAAACCAGCAAGAACGATCCCAGTGTATAGATTTGTATATCGACGTTAGTACGCGACGCAGCACTCTAGACATTGTTTATTTCTAGGTTCAGTGACAAAGACTATCCCAGATCGAACGCGACGCGGCACTCCAGACTGGCGCGGCGATGGCGGGTGGCGGCGGCTGCGGCGGCGGCGGCGGCGGCGGCGGGAACGTCTATGGCCATGACAGCCATGATAACGACGACGACGAGGCGCAGTTTGACCCGCTGCTGCAGCTCATTCAGACGTCGCGCATGTGGACCAAAGAGGTGCGCCTGGGCCGCGATGCCGCGGACACGTCATCCGCCTGTCGCTGCGCTCCTACTCCTCCGCCTCCCCATATTCTTACTCCTAGTAGCCAGGAGCCTTAGTAACTATACTGCCGTAGCGGGGTAATGCCGGCTCGATGCGGCAACGAAGTAGCGCATGCGTTTCTGAGAGTTCACAATACAGCCATTTGTCGCACCGCGCCGTCACAAGCCCCGACGATTTTTTTTTTAATCACGCCGCGACAACGCACTATCTTGTCGCTTCCGTGGCTCCGCTTCGACGCAATAGTCCGTCGCATAGTCAAAGGCGCGCTGCGCGTCATTCCCGCCGCCAACCTTTCCCCGCGCCTCCGCTTCCTCCGCGGATCACCTCCTCGTCGAGGAGGCAGATTCTATCTCCCCAGCACCCCTAGATCGGCGATTATTCACTGCGGAAGACTATCCACAATGGTTCTACGCGGCGCGTAGGGGTTAGAATCGAACGGTGGGTAGTGCCTGTCTGAATCCGACGGATAGAACGCCGTCACTAACTCGGCCGCACTTGCTCCCGCGCTTCCGCAGCGCGCGGATGTGAATCTCGTCTGTCCCCGCCTGCGCGCCCGCCGCCTGTACTCCCCTTAGGACTCCCGCGCTTCCGCCCGCCCGCGCGTGCGGCTGCGAACCTCCGTTGGGCGGGCTGTTGCGCCGTGCACTGCGCTGATAGGCTTTTGCGACAACGCAACGCCGCAACAACGAGCCTTCCGCGGACCTTCCCCTCCCCCTTCCGCCGCCTTACCCCAGATCGTTCCGCCGTCCATCGTTTCCGCGGAAGACGATTTTGCATCAAGTGGTGTCGAGTTTTGAGGCGCCTCAAAACTGGACGATTTTGCATCATGTCATGTCATGTCATGTCGTGTCGTGTCGTGTCGTGTCGTGTCGATCCACAACAGGAGAACGATTGCCGCAAGCTAGGAGGCGCCGCGATATTCAATCATGAAGGCTGCCGTCAGCAGCAATAGTCGGCTTGCGCGTTGCGCAGAAGCGCGGCGTGACGAAAGGCAGGAGACGACGAAACGCATTAGATCTACCCCGCGCATAACGCCTCCCCCACCATTCTCCCACTCTCTTTCTCCCCTCTTCCATCCCTCCCCCGTCTCCTCTCCCCTAGGAGGACGCGGTGCTGCTGCGCCATGCGCTGCGCGCGAGCACGAAGCAGTGGAGCGCGCTGGAGAAGAGCGGGCGGGATGCTCTGCCCCCTCCCCCACTCCCCTAACCTTCCCCCAACCTTCCCCCAACCCCTTTCCCCCCTGTCTTCTTCCGCACAGGAGGACGCGGTGTTGCTGCGCCATGCCCTGAGGGCGGGCACGAAGCAGTGGGGCGCGTTAGAGAAGAGCGGGCGCCTGCCTCTGCGCGACAACAAGGCGTGCTGCAACCGCTTCATCTTCCTCAAAAAGTGAGCCACACCGCACTCAACCGGGGCAGCCAAAACATCTTTCTGAAAATGTGTGCTGTGCTGTCACTGCCTCTCGCCTCTCGCCTCTCGCCTCTCGCCTAGCCGATATCTTCTCTCCATGCTTACTCCTCTCCACGCTTACTCCTCTCCACGCTTCTCCCCTCTTCGTTTTCGTCTCCCCTTTCCCTTTTCGTGGGTGTTTTCCGATTCTGGTCAGAAAATTCGTGGAGATTCACCGGAAATGGCACCAATCTTCAGCCACCCCTGACCCACAGTTCTGGGCGCAAGTGCAACAGGGGGAGCAGGGAGGAGGGGGAGGGGGAGGGGAAGGGGCAGGAGGAGGGGGAGGGGCAGGAGGCAAAGCTTTTCGGAAGAGCAGCGGAGACGGAACAATGGGCGGCAGCAGCAGCACGGGCAGGGGAACGGGCAGAGGAACGGGCAGAGGAACGGGCAGAGGAAGCCCTCCTTATGATCTTGGTTCTAAGCGTGCGGGCAGCAGCACGAGGGAAGGGAAAAAGGCAGCAAGCGGGCAGGAGCCAATGACGTTCGGACACCTGTCACTGGAGGCGTGTGAGTGGCTGTTTCTGGGGAAGGGGGAGGCGAGAGAATGGGCCGAGTTGCAAGAGGGGGGGAGTGAGGGGGGGGAAGGGAGAGGGGGAGATCGGGAGGAGGCTGGGAAGGGCGGGGGAGGAGAAGAGGAGAAGAGGAAACGGAGGAGGGAGGGAGGGGGGCGAGAAAAGGAGATTGGAGGGGGAAGCGGGGGCGGCGGCGACAGGGTGGGAGGAGAAGGAAGAAGGTCAGGCTCTTTGAGGGAAGACAGCCGGATATCTGTGGGGTATGGTGGAGACCCAATGGTGTCTGGAGGAGGAGGGGCGCAGGGAGGAAGGCAAGGAGGAGGGCGAGGAGGAGGAGGAGGAGGAGGAG